CCCCTAGATCCGCCACTGGGCTATGGGCTAATCGACATGGGGGCTAAAAGACCGCCGGTCACCAATGGTAGGAGCCAAAGAATGTAAAACATACAGGCTATAACACGTCTAGCTAAAGGTGGTTCAAGTCTCCTGGGCGGGGTCACTCTCACAATGCTTCTCTCCGCTTAGGTGTATAAATGGGACCAGCAAATTCAAGGCTGAGTGGTAGCACTGGATGGACTACCATAGAATATCCAGAAGGGAACAGAAATAATACTCCTAGTTTCTTTATTCTAAAGAAACCGGAGAAACGCGCCGGCCTGATGGGCCGCTATGCTAGAACACAGACTTTCCCGTTATACCTGCCCTGCCTTCTACCCCCTACAACCAAAACCCTCCTATGCCAGGATGTTAGGGTGTGTTAAATAAGTAACCAGCCTTGTCCAAAAAACAATTTGGAGTGGAGGTACTTTTCATTTCTTAACCCAATAAGTACAAATTGCCGTTCAGGGTTTAAATCCGCAAACAACGATACCACATGTTCAAGACGATAATGGCAGTGAAAACACCGCCAAACATAAGAATCAATCAGCAGTCACAATGGTAGTGCACGTGCGTTATGTATATCCTGGTACATTTCTTAGCATTCATCTGCAAAACAACAATGCAAAATGTTTAAATTCTACGTTTTATGAAAAAGAATAGCTACACGTATACGGACGGTGAATTTTCTATCTTTTTACACTGATTTGGGAAAAAACTATAGTTCGATATTCGAAAGACGATTTTAAAAATACGATAAAAATTGATTTAAAAAATAATTATCACCTTGGGGTAGTTTTTCAAGGTCTCGCCGATCTCTCTAAATTTGTATATGCTAGTTTCAAAATCGCATTGCGCACGCTTTTTGTAATTTTATGCATCAGTCAATTCTAGCAGTGCCCATCCCCCCCCCGGGCAACCGCGGGGCATTTGCTCACGTTGTCAGTCCCGGGGGTGGGGCATCCGCAATCTTATCGCGCCCCGGGGGCTGGGCATTTGCGTACCCCGGGGCGACCCCCGGGCATTCGACACACTTGTTTTGGAAAGTGCCATGGATGAGTTCATTGGGAAAGACGAGGTGTTTGTCGAACAATGGCTTGTCCGTCAGGGACTAGAGAAACTTGCAGATGTTTTTANCGGGCATTCGACACACTTGTTTTGGAAAGTGCCATGGATGAGTTCATTGGGAAAGACGAGGTGTTTGTCGAACAATGGCTTGTCCGTCAGGGACTAGAGAAACTTGCAGATGTTTTTAAAAGTATGTTTTCTCAATCTTAGATATTTCTTCATTACTTGTAAGCATATAAACATAAGCGACAAGGTGAACTATATTTTGTTTATCACAAAACAATCCCTGACGTGAACACAACTATTTCGCATTTCGCATTCAAAACTAGCCTAGCATTTTTTAAATTCATGAAAGTGTGTCAAATGCCCGCGGGTCGCCCATTTTTTTAAAAAAATGCTAATGCCCGGGGGTTAGCTCGGGGGGGATAGGCACTGCTGGAATTGACTGATGCATTAAGTTTGCTCATTTTAGTAAACAAGTCAAGATCGAAGATCCCTAAGCAAACGCTCTGAGGCAACCTTTTGCAGAATCATTGTTCTGTAAAGAGAAACAGAGAATACAAATAGCATTTCACATCACTGGCGCAGCTAAACTGTTTCTATGTGAAAAGAAGACACTGAGAATCGACGATGTGCGGTCTTGCAGAAGACACAAGCAAGAAGCCCTGGAAGAACAGATCTCGATAAGTTTATCACCAAAGGTAAAGGATTTGTATTATTATCTGTTTTTAGTTCAAAAGATGCGGTGAATTTGGACATATAACTGAGCCGCAAAATAGTCAATTTTGCCATTACACGGAAATTTGGTCTGATCATGTTGAGCGCCTGCCACTAACCGCTTGCGACTGTTGGCGACGATGGCAGCACTTCAGCAGAAGGGGACGGAAATCTTTTAATTTTCGGCCGATACCATACAACTTTACACATTTAAATGTCGAATAACGCTTTATTTTAATTAACTGATGCAATAAAAAGAGGCATGGGTGGGATAAGGTATTTTGTTCTGACGCGTTTAGTGCCTTTCTTATCAAACAAAACTCCGCAGCGGGAAAGGTCGCCAATTTTATTTGTTACACCTCCCAACTCAAATATGTTTTCCGATTGGAGGAGAACGTGTGATGTGTCGTAGGTCAAAACTCAGTAACTCCATAGGGCGAACAAAACTCTCTTACTCCCCAGAGAAACAACAACTTGAACTTTCGACTTGCATATGATCAGGTCGTGCACCTTGAAACCGCGGCAAATTTGTGTGCCAGCCGGCATCAAGCAAACGATTTCTTCGTAGATTTTTTTCTATCTTCGAGTTGGGAGGTATAACAAATAACACAGACAGTAAGGACAGTAAGTATAAACCTGTTTCACGTATCGTCATTTAAAAAAAAGCGATTCTATCAGCCCCTGGATTTTCTGCTCTGTAAAGCACAGACTGGTCTGACAAAATTGATCACGACAGAAACTTGTTTAGGAAAACTTGGAGTCTGCATGCGCTTTACAGATCATATACGTAACAACTGACCTTTCAAGGGATTCGAATCTACCAATAAAAATCTCTTCGGTCCTAACTTTTTTGATCTGTGAAGCATAGACTGGTCCTACATCCAAATTGCCGGCACAAGATAAAAAAAAAAAAATGTTTCGGAACAATTGGACTGTCTGCATGCGCTAATGGGTCTTGAGCTTTGTACAAGAGATATTTATGGTTGGCCATTCGTTTCAAAATTACGACAGGGTATACGCGGGTTTTTCTGCCGCGTATACTTGGTTACATACGTTACTTATGGGCTTTAAGCTCATATATACGACCATTTAGATCGCGTATATACGCATTTTAAAAGGGCCACATATTTGCGTAAATTCAAGCGCGGGGATATGCGAAATAAATGCCCAAATATACGCGTCCTGCAAGGACCCATATATACGCGTGCTAAAATGCGCGTACGAGTCACGTTAATTACGTTTTATATGCCAGCACGAAATGTGCCATTTAAGAGAATGGCTGTTCATGTATGATAGCAATGAAAATTACTTTAACTAGGAATCGTCAATATGGCGGCAGTGGTAAAATGCCTCGTCTTGCTCTATCTGCTATTTAATGTTTGTTACTGCAGCTCTCCAGT